GTGGCTGATCCATGATTATAACTTCGGGTGGTCCTAATCAAGGGATGTTAGGTGCTAGTCCGACAGCGGATTGGGGTGCCTATACACCTAGACGGGGTCTAGGCAAATGCATAGGTGGGCTAAGCAAATTCGAGGTTTATTATTCAACATACAACATACAAAAATATCATAATTTTTGTTTTAGTATTTTAGTGAATTTGATTGTATGAGATGCCAGTGTAAGCGACTACGAGTTCATAATACTCTACGAAATACTTTTCAGGGGTCGTATGAATTTACAGGGAATTAAAAAAAAAATAACGGTGTCAAACATATGGTTTAAATATATTGGTTGATTAATACATCATCCCTTTGCTAATTAAAATGCTAGGGTGGCACAACCTGATTGGACAACAATTAAAAAAAATGAGAATTCGTCACGTAGGAAATGGAGAGGAAAAGTCCATCTTGTTTGTTGTAACCAAGGTCCAAGAACAAAGCCATGGTGGTCTTCTCTCTTCTACCACATGTCCAGACCATTGGGTGGTCCTTAGAGGTTTCCAGAGGCGCTTCTTCGGACGTCCAAATGGTCCTAGGACTACCCAGGTCCAATAGTGGATCTGCTCCTGGCTCCAAGTACTTCATATCTTTCCTTAAAGTTTTTTTTCCAATGTCTTCCTAGGTATTCCTCTACCCTTATGCCCTGAGTCTCTATCTCTTAATCTCATTTTCTAACCAGCGCATCTGTATGTCTTTATTTCACATGACAAATCTGTGCATGGAACAAAAAATCAAGAGCCATGAGCAAATAAAGACTGAGAAGGTTGACTCAAGAATAAATTTAATTGGAGGCTCCAAACCACTTTAACCGATTTGCACTTATCTTATCTTCAATTCGGCCATTCTTAGGTCTTCGTTTGCAGCCACTCCTATGTCTTCATTTCAAATGTTCAAACATCTCAATTTGATTATTGCCTATATACCACACCACATTAAAAATTGGATAGAATAAAAATTTTAGATTAAATATGGAGTGATTCAATTATTTTGCTTAATTTTTTAGGAAAACTAATGAAAATGGCTTGAAAACTTTGAGTTTTAACAATAAGGACAAAATAAAGGGTAAAATGAATAGTACTAGGTTTGACTTTTTAGTGTTAAAATGTGGTTTTTCGTTAAAGTGAACAGTACCGTGGGCTTTTTGTTAAAACTTTTTTTTTCTTTTCCTGTAATCGTATGAAGGAGAAATTAAAATTTCAAAAAAGGATGCCTTTCAAAAAAGGATGCCCAGAGGTACAGTTACAGTGGATTTGGCTTGTGGTTTCTTCATATTAGGTATTCTCAATAAATTCGAAAACAGCACATGACCTCTCACCCACGGCATACACACATACACACATACACACTCTGACACCAACCAGCAGAAAAATTAATTCTCTTAATAACCCAGTCATACTCTTGCAGTGTTACTTGCTAGCCAAGCAAACTCTCCAGTATCCACCATGCATGAAATTTCAATTCCACAACCTGAGATTGAAGTGGATCAATAATAACCTTGTATCATTTCACTGGTACTAAATTGTTCTAGCTGTAGTAGGGCCTAATTATATGGTGGTAGTATGAAATCTGTTTTTTTCTTGTGTGATGGATAATGGTGATTAAGCTCGTTTTACTTTCTTATAACTAATTAAACGTTTACTTACTTAATATGGAGAGTCGTGAATCGGAGAAGTCACGAATAGTGGAGAGAAGGTTAGGGTATGAGATCAACTACAACTCCTAATCAGCCTAATTCGATCTTGATTTTTCAGGTACTGGATTACGGAAATGCGGAACTTACATACTTTTGAATTTGTATGTGTCAGTAAACGCATGATAAATTCACGCATCAATCGGAATAACTCAAATGTAAAGATGCAAAAAACTAATGCCGCTTGTATTACTGGTCCCTTGCCTTATTTATTTTAGTTTCCAAGAGACAATGATAGGTGATACACCACTGTCACGTCCGCGCGCAAGGGTTATCCTCTCGTATAAGTTTCTAGGGTTGAGAAAAAGATGGCTGATCGATTCTTCTGGCTGCAATACAATGCATTGACATGATTGAATATTTGAGAGAAGGCAGGTGGATGAAATGAATGTGTTGTAGTTTTAGTTGCCGCTGGGTGCATTAATTGTTCGATAGACGAAGGGTTCGAGTGAGAGAATGACTGATTGGTGTTTTGTGGTTTCAGTTAGATGTTTATCTAAATCGATCAAGTGATGATGCATAAGCATAACGAACTCTCACAATTATATAGATCATCAAAGAAAAAGACAGCTTTTGGCCTTCTTGTCATAAACCAACATCCCCATCTTTGGACTTGTTCGTTGAATAGTTGTGAGGACTCGTTCCAATTTTGGTGTAGAGGGCTAGCTGGCCAAGAGCACGGCTTTCAATTTGAAAGGGAGACATTCATCAAGTCGGTATGATATAATCAAATTCCAATTGTTAAACTGATCAAATCAAATTCTGAGGAAAAATCAATCAAATACCAATAATATAGCCATAAAAATTAATAATATAACCATCAAATATTGATGACATACTGAAAAACTGATCATTTTAGCAGTTGAGATTTGAAAAATGAGCATAATTGGCCAATTTCCCAAAGAAATCTACACAAGAATTTAAAATGTAAAATGCCCTGAAATGGAAGATTTAAGGTGTCTTGAGGATTTTACATTTTCTTTATCCTGAAAGTTCTATAAAGGCGAATATAATCCATCTTCGCTGAAAGATGTGAACAAAAATATATATTTACATATATTTTTGGGCAATTAGCTGGAATGACCAGTTTTTAGTAATGATGACATATTGGTCATATATCAATGACATAATGACCACACAATGATAATATAATGATGACATGGATAAAATTGATCAAATCTACAACCAAATGTCAAAAACTGATCATTCCAGCTAATTGCCCTATATTTTTTTACTTCTTTGGGAGGTGGGATATGTCAATCAAAGAGAGAAAGTTTAGATCCCAACTTACATTCTCCCATTTGCGTACAACTCATATTTACATCGTCCGAAGATGTAAAGTGAAATTTAATATGATTTTCGCATCACAAATTTGTATCTATTCATTGAAGATGCTCTTGTAAGACAATATTCAAAGGGTTCCAAGTTAAATATAGCCTTTTATTGGAACATTAATTCTAGCATTACTACTAAATCACATTGCAACAGGGGTTTCATAGCTCAAGTCATTGAAAGCTCGTTTCTACTAATGACATTAGTTTAAATGCATCACAACTAACAATTCAATTACTAGGAACCACAAAGTATTATTTGGTACATTAACCATTACAATAGTTTCTACTAATGACATACTAAGGAACCTGGAAACAAGTCCAAAAATATCCCAAGTTTACCTTCATCATGTACGCATAAGAACACAGCATTTAAAGACAATTCTTTCTTCTTGTTTTTTTTTTTTTTTTTTTTTTTTTTGAAAACTTTAAAGACAATTCTTTGGCCATTCTTTTTTAGTCCTAGAAGTGCAATTTAGCATCGAGTAATGTTCGCCCATTCCACCATTTCGAATGGTGTTCGAACTTATCGAGCAGGGTGCTCGAATGCCACCACCATTGAAAAATAAATAAATAAATAAAAAATATTTTAATAGGTCAAAATTGGCCTAAGGAGCCCAAAGGCCAGTTTGGTACTCTATTGAGAAAATTTGATCCTATTCAGATTCACTAGGATCCCCACATCTTAGCCATTCATTGTGTATTATGCGATCATAATTCATTTGATTTTTTTATTTAAAATTAAACACAAATAGTATCTGACAAAAATTGACTGTACAATGTCTGATGAATGAATATGATGTGGGGATCAGCGGATCCATGATTTTAAACTCGGGGGGTCCCAATAATAAAGGTCAAAAAATTTATAGATAAAAAGAACATTGAAAAGTTAGATATAATACATTTCATTCAAAAATCATGTGCAAAACAACATTACAAGCTATAAAATCCTAATTCAAGCGTCTATGACGAGGTTTCATAGTCTGAAAATGTTCCATGATAGCTTCATTACCAATACATGAAAAAACATCTTTCTCAATGTAAACAACTAAGATGTCACTCAACCATTGATCTCCCATTTTGTTGTGAAGTGGACCCTTAATGATATTCATAGCGGAAAATGCCCTCTCTACTGAAGCAGTTGCAACCGGTAAAACCAAAGCCAACTGAACAAGCAAATATACATATGCAAATATTTGATGCAACCCTGTCTCCACCATTTTCTTAGCAAGCTCATTAATCCCTCAAAATTGAGAAAAATCATTATCAGAATGCACAAAATGAATGTAAATATCAAGTTGATCTTGAAGTGCCAATCTATCTCGATCCGTGAAATCTTTAGGATACATATGAGCAAGGCGAACAAGCTTCTCTTTATCAAAAGCTACAAATGAATCATTTGGACTCAACATGCCAAGCAAATAAGCAATTCGATATTACCTTCAGCGAAGCGATCATCTAATTCTATAAGTTGGAAATCAATGACCTCAAAAAAGAGCTCCACTTTGTAATGATGATGGTTGGTCTTTCTTGGAGCCTTACGCAATGATTTCCCTTGAATGACATATAAATCATCCATATTAGGCGCCTCAATTTCATGTTCAACACAAAAAGATGATACTTTATCAACCAAAAGATCAAATTTTTCATCATTTCTCATGCAACATGGTTGTTCTTTACATGTCTGGACTAAAGCTATTGCATTCACAATCTCTTGATTTTTTTTTTTTTTGCAATGCTTGTGACAAATCGTTTGTAACTCCTAATATGGATTTCATAAAAAAGAGGAGGAATACAAACTCAAAAGATTGTAAATCTTTTAATAACCTTTTTGCTTCACCAGCACTATCATTGTAGCAATCTTTAACAATCATGTCAAGCACGTCCACCACATATGAGAACATTGTAATCAAACTAATCTAAGCACCATAATGTGAATTCTACCGTGTATCCTCATCACGTTTGAGACTAGTTTCTTGATTTAACCCTTGCCCCGTTTCAGGACAATCATTTTCAATAGCTTTAATGAGATTTTCTTGTTGTTTCTCTCTAAGTGCATCACAACGCTTGCATGACTTTTTCTTTGCTACGGTAACAAGAGCTAATTGTAGTTGATGAGCAAAATAATGAACATAGAATGCACAACTTTCTTCATCTAATTTTTTTTTAAGGCCATTGAACTCACCTCTCATATTCCTTGCCCCATCATTACCTTGACCTCGTAGGTTGGAGTAGCTCAAATCATGTAGTTTCAAGAACTCATCAATGGACTCCTTTAGTTTACTTAAAGTTGTTTCAGTAACATGTTGGACTCCTACGAACCTTTCAATTACTTGACCTTTGTTGTCCACATAACGCAAAATCACCGCCATTTGCTCCTTTGTTGAAATATCACGTGATTCATCTACCATTATAGAAAAGAATTTACTCTCTTTCCCTTCTTTCATAATAGCCTTAATAGTTTCGAAGGCACATGAGTTGACAATATCTTTTTGAATTGAAGGAGCTATTAGCTTGAGATTTCTCGGAGCATTTTTCAACACAACTTCCTTTATTTTCTCATCATGATCCACAAGGAATTGCAAGAGCTCTAAATAATTCCCCCTATTATTTGAAGTGTCACTTTTATCGTGGCCACGAAAAGGAAGGCCTTGTCGCAACAAGAACTTAGTGCAATCTATTGATGGATTCAAGCAAAGATGATATTTCATACACTCTTCTTCTGACTGCTTGATCACAACTGCTTCAATATGTGCCTTTTGGTTCATTTGATAACTAGCTGCTTCTCTAGCTTTATTGTGGAAATTACCAATAGGACCAACAAGTTTGTCAAAACATTTTCTTGCATTCTTCCATTTCTTAAAGCCTACCCCAGTGAAGGCATCGCTTCCTAATTGTGAAAAGTTGATTTTAAAGAGATAGCAATGAAGACAAAATGCCGCATCTTTAGATATACCACACTCCAACCAATCATATTCTTCAAACCACGAAACAACAAATAGTCGCTTTTTCTTTGCATGCAAAGTGTATGGGAACTCATACTTTGTAGGCCTACAAGGTCCCATTTGCAAATATGCTCTTCGGATCTCATCTTGAATATTAGAAGGATAATCCTTCATTCGAATTCTTTTTCCCGGGTCTCTCTCAAGATTATTAAAATCAATGTCACACTCATTTTGTCTTGAACTCGAAATACTCGAACAAGTAGATGGTGCTATTGCCTTTGGCTTGAAAAATCTTTCCATATTTCTTATTTCTAAACTACACATTTAACCAAAAACACAAAACATATACCAATCAACCAATAAACAAAAATTCCATCTAAATTTCAATGATAAAATGAGTATACAAACATAAAACATATCTACAATCATATCAATAATAGACTAAAAATCTCCACCAATATCTAATATAATTTAATTGAGATTAGATTAGAATACTAAAAAACGTACTTAAATTTGGAACCAAACAGTGGTGGCTTGGAGAATTGAAACAAACAAGTGGAGGTATGATATTGGAGTAATGTAATTATAATATGGGATTGGGTGGGATTAGAAATTTAGAGGTTTGGGTGAATATAAGAAAGATGGGGGATTAGGGGGAAAAGCAGAGGAACGGGGAAAGGAAAAGCGAAAGGGACTCTCGGGATTGGAAAGATGGCCCATGTGGGGCTAGGCCTTAAAAAAGAATATGGAATCATGTTGTAAACGGTGGAGACAAACGTAGGCTTAAAAAAAAAAAACAAATTGGCCTGCATTTTGGACCAATTTTTTTAAAAAGCCCTGTTTTCTTTCTTCTCCGTTGCAAGTTGTAACCTGCAGCTCTGTCTGCATAGACCTCATATTCGAGTACGATTGGTCCTCTAAAAATTTTCAAGCAGCATTTTGGGATCGCCGAGGGTTCTGGGACCTTCCAGGTCCCTCTGTAGATTCGTCTCTGGTGGGGATCCCTCTCATGCTCTCCTCCCCCTCCTCCTCCACCACACTCCACCCTAATCTCTGCTGCCTCCACCACTTTCTCTTCCACTTCAGTGCACAGATCAGACACCGCTGGTGTCGACGACCGGTTTGAAATAGGAAAAATGGGATTTACAAAATTTCTTTGCGATGGTTCCTCCTCCATCTTTAATTATTCAATTGTCTATTGCATTTTTGTGTATTTTTTTTATTCTCTAACTGTATTCCTGGTTTTATTTTCTAGGGTTTATCAAAAATTTCTCAATTCACAAAAAGGCTGTGGATTAAGGAGGTATATGCATGGTAGCTAATGATACTTTTAGAATTTTTGAATTGCCAACTTTAACGACACTGATACCGTCCCCAACTTTACCACATGCCCAATCCATCAGGTGTGGGGTTTTACCACAAACACCTTGATAATAGTTAGAGTGGGGTAATCATATTTAAACCCCTTGGTTTTCTTTCCCACCACCGATGTGGGACTTTAACACTCCCCCTCACGTGTAACCTCATTTAGTGGTTCACATGTGGAGATCCACATCGGTAATTGAAACTCAGAGGTCAACTCATGTTAGGCCCACTTGTTTTCAATTGGAACTCAACGGTCGTCTCTATATTAAGAGCTCAGACTTGTTTCCTTCCCGGTGGTGACAAGCTCATTGGCTTGCACACAAGCTCGTTGGCTTGCACGGGCCCGCAACCGTGGGCTCTGATACCATGATGAATGTAATACCCTAGAAAATTTAAAATATATGAAAATGTAGAAAATTTATCAATAAGTGGAAATGCCCCTCGTATATTAAACGTAATTTTATGAGGATGTATTTTATCTTCGTATATTTTATTATATTTATTGACATATATGGATGGAGTTCGATCCTACGAGTGTGTAGGCGAAACCGTTCGTGAAACGAAGAAATTAGAGATGTTTTCGTTATTGGAAAAAAAAAATAAAAGAAATGGGGTTGGAAGTTGCCAGGTGGCAGTAAGAGAGAGGGAAAATGAGGGATGCAGGAGAGAAAAGGAGGAGGGGAGAGGACCAATGCGTAGAGAAAGAAGGGAGAGAAAAGAGGGAGGTGAGGGAGCAACGAATCCTTTTAGATCCGTGCAACCAACCCGACCTAGTTCCTTGACCCGGTCTTATCTTCTCCGTCCGACCTCCGTTCGAGGTGGTTCAGGTGTCTTGATAGGAGCATATTTAGGCGACTTAGTTAGCTTGTTTTCTTGCATTTATGTTGTTAGTTCTTAGTTATTTTAGTATTTTAAGCTATTTTCATGTATTTGTAGGTCCAAAAGGCTAAGGAGGCAAGAAAGTGCATTTTAGAGCATTTTGGAGCAGTTTTGGGCTTGGAATGGATATCACATGCTTGGAGCAAGGGAGATGGACGAAATTGAAGACCTAAAGGTGCTAGGATTCCTAATTGAAGATGGATTCCTAGAAGAATGAGGATTCCTACTTACACAAGGATTCCTACAAAAAGAAAGAATGTTAAGCTAAGGTTTCCTACTTTGGTTTTAACCTTCCCTAAACCTAAAAGTCCCTAAGTTCCAGCAACAAAGAAGACTCCTAATCATATTAAGACACTAAATAAGAACTTCTAGAAGTCCTAAACCCCTTGCCGCACCTCCTTTGTCCCTTTCTCTTCCTTGTCGTGCAAGGGTGAGCCTTTCTTTCCTATTTCCTGCACCAAATCACATTCCCTTTTTAACTAAAAGCCTTGCCGCATATCTCCTTACTCTTTCCTTTGATTTCTGATTTTGTTTTCCTTTTTCTAGTAGTTTTAACTTAATTTCTGTTAACCTAAATAAGTTAGGGTTTTGATTTCCTAAAACCTTAAATACTTCCCTTTGCCGCACAAAAATACATCATTCTTCCCATCCATTCTCCAATACACACATCCAGCCGCACCCTTCATACAGTTCTACGAATTCATTCATTCTCTGCTGCACCCATACACTCTCATCACCCATCACTCATCCACCACCACAATTCACCATAAAAATCATCAACCATACCTTGTGCCGTAGCAAAGAAGAAGAATGAGAGCCCTTGGACGTGCTTGCCATTCAAGTTAGAGTTGCTGGAATGTTTTTAGGTGTAATCTTTCTTTTGTTTTCAATGTTTAAGTTCAATAATCTTTGTTTTGCGAGTATGAGGAACTAAACCCCTCTTAGCTAGGGGGAATTTTGAAACCATGACTATACTTGCAATATGATTTGATTACATCCAATTGTAATTTCATAAATTGTGAATTCAATTTACTTATCTGTTTGAATTAAAACTTGTTTGTGTATGTGGGTTGAGAGTGCACACTTAATTTTCATGCATAAATCTGATGCTTGGATATAAGGGAGTTTCACCTAATCGTTATGAATTTATATTCATAAGTAGTGGAGGTTGCTAGTCACAATCGTGTTAAGTAAATTCCTAGCATAAGTATCATGCGATTTCATAGTTACGAATGCCTTGTCAATACTTATGATTTTCATATAACTTAATGACCTTTGATTGTATCTCTATTATGCGCTTTCATGTAGGGAACTTTTGAAGAATAATTTGATTGCGATGAGCTATTTCCGTCCAATTCAATGACATAAGGAAAATCTGAGGGTTAATTTAAGCGTACCTACTTAATCTGGGGTGTTGAGATTTATGGTTTATTGAAAGAAACAACTGGAAATCGATTTGTATGCAAGTGTATCATGTGTGGAGAAGAACCCTCTAGCTAGCCCACCATCCATCCAATTTACCCAATTTCATCCAAACTTTGTTTTAGTTTACAGTCTGTTTGTTTTACTTTCAAATTCGTCAAAACCAAATCCCCCTTTACTTTGTTGAGTCATATTAGTTAGAAACTATTTTAGTTTGTGTTTTTAAGTGTTTTGAGTCAAGGTAAAACCAATTTTCGTCCAAATTCACTCTTAGTGTTTGTTTTGAGTCAATTAGCTTGTTTTGTGCTGTTTTGAGTCATTTGAGTTGTTTTAGTGTATTAGAGTCTAGTTTTGCATTCTTTGAATCTAGTTTAGTGTTCCAAACTTAGTTTTACGTTTTCAAGTTAGTTTCAAGTGTTTTAGCAATCCCTCCTAATCCCCGGCCTAGAATGATCCCTACTTACATATATACTACAATTGTCAACAAGAGGGTTTAATTTGTGTGCTTATATATTTCGCATCATGTCTATGGAAAGCTCTCGTCGAGCCCAATGTCTTTGTGTATTATATTTCTAGATTTCTAACCCAAATTCACAAATCAAAGCCACAAAACCCACGGGTGTCCAAGTGGTTTTATCCTTTTTTCAGAGAATCCGACAACGATTGTCGTCGATGACCATCACCAAAAGACTCCTCTCAACCCCAGGGACAAGGCCCAAGCCTTGGATGAGGCGTCAGAGTTCGTTTTGGTGGCGAATCGACAACTACCCAAATTGAGGGTTCAGGCAATTTGAGGGGTTTCCGGCCACTTCTCAGCCGAATTGGACTTCGGCCCGGTATGAAAGTTGTTCTTCTCATTGAACTCTACAACCCTGTAAAATTTGGTAATTTTTTAAGTTCGTCGGAATTTGGAGTTTCCGTTCGCAGGAAACAGCCACGCGCGGCGCCGCGTGGACAGTGAGCTAACGCTGCCTTTCTAAGCTAATTTTGATATTTTGAATCTATATTTGATATGAAATTGGTGTGAATTACTTGAAACATAAGAAAATGAGACCTAGGGTATCCAAATTCACTTCCCTTAATATGTTATGCTCAAGTAGTTCCCCAATATTGATGATCGATTTTCCCTAAATTATTGAACGGCCATGGCATTTGGTTGATTTTGGAAATGAGTTAGAAATTGAATTTGTGAACTACGAATGGCTTGATCCTTCATAGGGTACGTAGGCAGTCTAATGCGAAGGTTAGATGCAGCCGTAAAATAACCCAAATTTATTATTGTACTTGATTTCTTTAAGGAAAGAAATTTATAATGGTTAATAGCGTAGAGATTAACCATGACTTTATTTTGGCCTATCACCGAATTTAGCTTCCAAATAAAAATTTTGGATCATTACAATGAAGTTTATGGATTAAATGTTTAATTTTTTATTTTAGTTTTGAAGTATGAAAAAGAGAGAGGAAAACTTGGAGCTCTCTGGAAAAGGAAAGCTTTCTGTTTATATTGATGATTGCGGCTGCTTTATTCATTGCAGAGCATAAACCAACATTCCTTTTTCATTCCTTTAGGCACTAAATCCAATCTTAACCTTACATAGTACGTCATCAATATGATGATGACACATGGCTATTACAAGGACATATAAGACCTACAAAAGTACATGGATCCAGACCCTACACTTGTCATATATATAAGACAATACAAAGACAGTTAAGGAAATGAAAACAACTTAACTATCAACATTCCCTCTTAAGTTGTTTACTGATTTCACACTAAGGAAATCTCTGAGAACAAAAACGAGCTTTAGGAAGAGCGTTAGTGAAAATATCAACAAGCTAGTGTAAACTAGTCTAGCAGACCAAACTTGTCTAGCAGAGACAGAGCATATTTCTTTTGCCCAATGAAGATCCCTTTTTCACTTTGCAGAATCCCCATGCCAAGAAAATGGTGCAGCAGTCCAAATCTGTCATTTCATACATGTTCATCATATCAAACTTGAATTCTAACATCAATTCTTCACTGCTGCTTGTGTAAACTATATCATCCACATAGATTGAGATGATTATAGTTTCAATACCATTTCTTACCTTAACATAAAATATAGGTTCACTGGGGCTCCTCTCAAATCCACATAAGATGAGGTATGCATCAATTTCTTCATAACAGGCCCTTGGTGACTGTTTCAGGCCATATAATGCCTTCCTTAACTTATAAACCTTTTCTTTTGCATTCTGAATTACAAAACCTTCAGGTTGGTCTACATAGACCTCATTATGTAGAGTTCCATTTAAGAAGGCAGATTTCACAACAAGTTGGAACAATCTCCAATCTTTTTGGGCTACAAGAGCTATTAGCGTCCTGATAGTATTCATCCTTGCTACAGAAGCGTAAGTCTCATTGAAATCCACTTCGGGCTTTTGAGAATATCCCTTAGCAACTAGTCTTGCCTTGTGTTTTTGTATAGAACCATTAAGATTGAGTTTGGTTTTATATACCCATTTAACTCTAATGACCGGCTTGGATGTAGGTCTATCTACCAACTCCCAAATTTCATTTTTTTTTCTATCATGGAGATCTCATTATCCATAGTTGCCTGCCATGCTTTATCTTTTGCAGCTTCTTGATAATTTTCTGGTTCTATGATGCATATGTTGCACCTTGCATGTATATTAGTCAAGCTTCTTAGCCTAACCGGTGTAGAGGTAGGAGTTGATGAATTCTGGACCCCTGAGCTGAATCTTGTGTTCCAATAGTGTCCTCACTTTGCATTTGATCTGAAGTAGGTGTTAATTCCACTTGCTCAGTGATTCTATCATTGATCTCAACATTCAGTGGAACTGAAATAGGCATTTCCCTTTGTGTTTCCCCATTCCAAGCTGAGTTCTCATAAAAAATGACACTCCTAGACAATATTACTTTCTTGGAATGCAGGTCATACACTCTATACCCTTTCTCACATTTCCCATACCTAATGAAGATTCCCTTAGTTGCAGATTCCTCCAATTTGTGCCTCAATTGACTTGGCACGTGATAGTAGCATATAGAACCAAAGACCCTCAAGTGCTTGACTCCTGGCTTCCTGCCACTAAAGGCTTCAAAAGGTGTTACTTTATGAAGTGATCTGGTAGGACATTAATTAAGAATGTAGACTGCAGTTGTTACTGCTTCACCTCAGAAATTATATGGTAAATGTTTCTCATGAATCATAGCCTTTGTTATCCCAACAATTGTCTTATTATTCCTCTCAGCCACTCCATTTTGTTGAAGGGAATATGCAATTGTGAGTTGTCTTTCCAAACCAACATCTTCACAAAATTTCAAAAACTTAGTGGAGGTGTATTATCCCCATTTATCACTCCTCAACTTCTAGATTTTGAATCCACTTTGTAGTTTTACCATGGCTTTAAACTTCTTCAAGATATTGAAAACTTCATATTTCAGATTCATCGAGTATACCCAGCACATCCTGGTGCAATCATCAATAAAGGTTAGGAAGTATTTGTTCCCTGATATGGTAGAGACTTGCATTGGTCCACATGCATCAGTATGGATCAATTCTAGAGGTACAATGGCTCTCCATGCTTTCTCTTTGTCAAATGCCTCTCTGTGAGCTTTACCCATAACACACCCTTCACAGACTTTGGATGTATCTTTTATCTCATGTAGCCCATAAACCATTTCCTTTTGTTGCAGAGATTTTAGACTTTGGAAATCTAGATGCCCAAATCTCATATGCCAGTTCTAGGTGGTTTATTCAACAGTTGCTCTTTTAGCTACTTCATTTCCATATTCAAGTGTCATAGGGAAACACTTATTGCTAGTCATTTGCACCTTTGCCAATAGGTTCTCAAAGGTTCTGTCATCAAAGATATACATTATATAATCCCCAAATACCAAGAAGTACCCATGTTCAACCATTTGGCCTACACTTAAGAGGTTTTCATCTAGTCCTGGCACTAGCATGACCTTTTTTATGTATCTTTTTCCTTGTATGGTATCAATAACCAATGTTCCCTTTCCAACAGCTTGAACTAGGTCACCAGTACCCATTTTAACTTCGGCTATCACGTTCTGTTCACTTCAATCAAGAGGGATTCATGGCCAGTCATATGATTGTTACATGCACTATCCATATACCATACACTAGAATTTTTCACCACAGAGGTTGAGTGACATGCACAAAACATAGTTCCCTCTTCCTCTACTTCATTTGCGTAATTTGCTGCATGACAATTTTGCTTTTGTAGTCATTTGCCAAGTGACCAAATCTGTCACATTTATGGCACTTGGGTTTTTCCTTAAACCAACAGGTTCCATAATGCAATTTGTTGCAGTGAACACATGAAGTCTTTGTTCCTTCACCTTGATTATCTTTCTTTGCGACATTTGCAGGTTTTACATCCATTTTCTTGCCCTTGTTTTTCCAGTTGTTCTTGAATTTTGAGCTACCCCCATATGAGGAACTTGATCCTTCTTTAGGATTGATACTCAGGGATGAAAAAGCCTTCTCTGAACCATAGTCAGCATGCCTTTGTAGTCTTTGTTCATGTGACTTCAAGGAACCCATAACATCTTGCACACCAATTGTATCTGTATCTTTGGTTTCCTCTATAAGTTCTGCAATCGAGTCATAACTCCTAGGTATACTAATCAAAAGCTTTTGCACAGTTCTTTGATTAAAAAGTTCTTCCCCATATGACCTCATTTGATTTACAAGCTCAAACAGTTTAGATACATACATAGATAAAGATTCATCATTCTTCATTCTAAGATGTTCAAAATCCATCATAAGCCATTGCAATTTCACAGATCTTACTTTCTTATCACCAATGAATTTTGATTTTAGAATATCCTAAACAGCTTTGGAGGTTACCTGTTGAGCTATGTGAGGAAAAATATCATCCGAGACTGCATTTTGAATTAGTCCCAGTGCTTTTGCATCTTTAGTGACGTTGTCCTTTAATGCTAGTTTTTTAGCTGTTGTAAGGTCATTCTCAACCTTCTCATCCATCTCAGGTCCTACATACCCTTTTTCAACTAGTTTCCAGAGATCCTGCGAGATGAAGATCGTACGCAGCTTGATCATCCAGAAATCGTAGTTACTTCTATTGAAAATGGGAGCTCGTAGCTCACCACCACCTCCTTCGGCCATCTGAGACTGAACCTTCAGAGATTAGGGTATTTTGTTGATTTTCCCTTTTCTCTGCTTCGCGAATTCACAACGCTTAGATTCAGATTCGAACCTGTGCTCTAGATACCATGTTAGAATTTTTAGATTGTCGGGCCGCCCCACTCTAATGACACCGATACTATCCCTAACTTTACCACTTGTCCAATCCGTCAAGTGTGGGGTTTTACCACAAAATGCCTCAATATTAGTTAGAGTGGAGTAATCATATTTAAACCCCTTAGTTTCCTTTCCCACCACTGATGTGGGACTTTAACAGATACTGGTTGTTCAAGAAAATGAGTTTTCCTATTGAATTTTAGTTTCACCGATTTTGGATGGTATGGAACTCCATTCGAGCGAAAGACAAGAACCAGAGAATCATGGCAACGGAAACTAACCTTTGACGGAGAATTTTTTTTTGTTGGCGTCGATGTCTTCTAATTCATTCTTAATTACAACACAATCGGAGTCATTGTCCTCGTCATCCAGTTTGGGTTTAATAACACAGTCGGCTTCGACGGTGTCTGATTCGTACACTGAAGTGGAAGGGAATGTGGTGGAGGCGGCAAAGATTAGAGTGGAGTGTGGTGGATGAGGAAGGGAGGAGAGCATGGGATGGAGGTGGGGATGGAGGAGGAGAAGGAATGAAATGATGGTTTTGGGAAAAGAGATGATGCCTGGAATGGATTGGGAGAAGGGAGAGAGAGAATTGAATTGGGAGAGAATTTTAACTTTTTAAATATTTAATTAATTTTTTAATGTAGTTGGTGGATCGATCTTCTATCTGCCATATCAACAATTAACAGACCAATTGACAAATTTTTTAACGGAGGTCTAACATTGCAATGAATTCGTAAGTTGAGGTATGACATTGCAATATTTAAAAAATGAGGTATGAAATTGTGGTTCGACTCATAGTTGAGGTAGTTAACACATTTAAGGTAGAAGAACAAATTGAAATATGAATCAGGAGTAGCAAAAAGTAGAAAAAATATTTAATCTTGAAATTGAGTAAAAGATAAAGTTATAAATAAGGAATAACATTTCACAATTTGATAAAATGGTAAATAAAAGTTAGTCTGGATAATCAGTTAAGAAACCTAACTCAACAAAGTGGACACAATCTAATAGTAAGTCACAAAATAAGACTTATATCAAGTTTTTTGAAAAAGTAATTTTTTACTCCAATTCTTAAGTAGAATACTAAAGGGCCAAAGGTTCTAAGGATTTCCCAGATTGAGGGTTTGTCTAAAGATCACTTAGTATTAATATTATGGTTTAGTGGTATTCCTCTTCACTTGTAAGTGAGATGTCTTAGGTTCGATACTTGCCAAAGGCTAATTTGAACCACATTATTACTAGCCTATTATGAGGCATATTTCACCTTTTTCTCCTTAAACCCACTCTAACCCTGGGCTAAAACCTATAATTCCCCTTCCCCCCTCCCCCAAAAATCCAACCCAACCCATGGCCTAAAACTAACCTAAAACCTAAAACTCATCTCGGGACCAAATACCGGCCCAAGTTTAGGCCACAAATTGGAGTGGACCCTAGCCGATGCGAGTGTACCACGGGCTGTGAAGCCCAAACGCCAACCCGACTCGCCCCAACGCGCTAGATGCCAGCCCAGCGGGACCCTATCCACGTGGGCGTGTCCCCTGGCTGTCACATCATGTCAGTAGCCGTTGGGCTACTGTTTTCGATCCAACGACTAATTTCAAAAGGGCCTTTGGCTAATCCAATGGTCCACGTTCAATTTTTTTAATTATATTTATATAATTATTGAATCCAACGGCTTAGATCGAATATAATCAAATCTAACGGTAAAAAAAAAAATCTAACGGTCCAAATTTAAATCTAACGGCTAAAATAATTTAAAAAAATTATTTAACTCAAAATTCACCTAAAAACTCTATAAATACCTATGTATTTGTTCAAACATCCACACAAAACTCACTTTCTCCTACAATTCTTCCAATTTTTCTTTCTACCATTTCTTCTCATTTCCAAAATTTTCAAGATGGCAAAACAGCATGTTAGAGGTTGTAATTGGACCTTTGACGAAGATATTGCTTTATGTTTGGCATGGATTTCTATTAGTGAAGATGGTGCCGTCGGAACGAATCAAAATAGAAAGGTTTTATAGGGTAAAATCGTTCTCCAACGCCGATTTAAGGGAAGCTGGTGGTGTTTATGATGAGAAAAACTTTTGACGAAGGTAGACCAACTAGGATAAATACCATCAGTTAGGTACTAACCTAGCTCATACTTACCTTGTACTGAAATTCTGGTGCCCATCCATTGACAACATCATCGAACAGAGGTGAAGACCAAAGAACGTTGATATCGTTGTTTATCCAAGAGATCCGAAGCATGCATGCCAAATCCATGTGTCTTACGCCACAGCCTCGAGCACGATGGTTGGCTTGTTATAACGACCCTTGAATTGGCCAGCCTAATCAGTATTGGATATAGATGACATGTACACTTGTGCCACATCATCATGTGCCACATCATTAGAGGCTTATAGTATAAGCTAAGCGGTTGTAAACAGAATGTATAAAATGGGTTTTTCCCTCTCTTGTATTATGATTGCTTTCATTGAGAAAAACAAGTTATCTTCTTCTTCTGATAATTTTCATTTTTCTTTTGCAATATTGATCTTAGGGTTAATATGGTATCAAAGAGCCAGTCTGCTTGCGCAATGGGTTCTTGGTGAAGTTCTATTTCCGCTGTGTTCTTCTTTGAGGTTTGGTGGTTTCTCTCCTCGTCTTCAGTTTTCTAGTAAATTGAAAATTTTGGGAATTTTTTTCCTGGATCTTGTTTCTTTGTTCAAGATTATAGTAGTAGCTTATCTGAATTCAAGGTTGTTGCCCAGACAGCTTGATTGATTAGATCATTTTAGATTGTGTACTATTGAAGCATTCTTGAAGGCCGATGCCAATTTACATGATTTCTGTAATGAATTACGGTCAATAACCAGTTGTTCATCTAGTATTGTTAATTGATTGTTCTAATTTGTGAATTTTTGGACTCGAATTTTGAGTTTTTACATCTGGGTTTTTCGCCTAAGTCAGTGATTTTTCTGATTATATCTTCTTGGATTGTGGCTGTGATTCTTGATTGAAATTGTTGTTGTGGAATCATGTCTGAATCAGTGAAGCTTGAAAACCTTTTAGGGATGTTAACAATCAAATTGAATGACGATAATTTCATTAAGTGGAACTTTCAGTTTTGCTCTATGCTTCGTGGATATGATCTTTTTGATCATTTCACTGGTGAATCTGTGTGTCCTCCTAAATATGTGCTTAATTCTGAGATGGGGGTTACTCAAGAAATCAGTACTACTTATAAAACTTGGGTTAAGACAGATATGGCTTTGCTTAGTCTTCTCATTGCTACACTCAATGATGATGTTATTAAACATGTTGGGTGTAAGACTTCTTATGAAGCTTGGACTACTTTGCAAGATCTCTATATGTTTGTTTCAAGTGCTAGTGTTAATCACTTAAAGGCAGAGTTACATACCATTTAGAAAGGTGGTGATAGTGTGGATAAATACTTGTTACGGTGAAGGTTATTAAAGACAAACTTACTGCCGCTGGTGAAAAGATCACAGATCATGATGTTGTTATAGCAACTTTGACAGGGTTACCAGTTGAGTTTGATATAATTCGAACTGTTATTCTTGCCCAAGACACACCTATTACTTTGAAAGAATTTCGAGCTCAATTGTTAGGGGCATAGAACAAATCTTGAAACTAGGATGCAATCTCTTGTTCATAGTATGGCTGCTATGTATACCAATGCTGGTTTATCTGTATCTCCTGATGTGTCTACTGCTTCTGCATCTTCTCCAATCTCAAGTGGGTCTGTTTCTTCTGCTCTATTTCCCCAAAATTTAGGTTTTGGGTTTGTTGCTCCTAGACTATCTAATATGGGCTTCTCTCAAGCTCCAGGTTTTTCACAAAATAACTCTTCTTCTTTTTCTGGTTTTCAGTCTCCTGGAAATCAGTTTAATGGACAAGGACAGAACAATTTTGGTGGTTAAGGATAGAATACTTACAATGGGCAAGGGAATTGATCTTTTGGTCATAACAATGGATATAGAGGCAAGGGTTCTGGTGGTTATAAATCCAAGTTTAATAGTTCTCGAAATGGCAACTTTTGGTCTGGCAACACATCTAATAGACAAGAGATCATTCCTGAATGTCAGATTTGTTTGAGGAAATGTCATACTGCAATTACTTGTCTATATAGATCTGATAATACTCAAGTGGTTCAAGAATGTCAAATTTGTGGTAAAAAGGGACATATTGCTGTTGATTGCAGGCATCGTGGCAATTATGCCTAACAAGGAGCGCCATTTCCTGCTTCACTCAGTGCTAATTATGTTTCTCAAGATTTTTCCTCTCAATTATGCATCTAATTCTATGTCTTATGTTTCCTTTCCTGGTAATGTTGGATTTCAAGGTTTTTCTCCTCCTCCAGAGTATTTTAGTGGCATTGCTCCTTCATTTCTACATCAAGGTTAGTCATCTACAAGTTTTCCAGATTTTTTTGAAGTTCAAGGGTCTTCTGTTTCTTCTCCTATGATTGCTTTCACTGCACAACCTTCTGCTAAGTGTGAGTCTTGGATAGTGGATACAAGTGCTTCTCATCATATGAGCCCTAATATCACACTCTTAAATTCTGCAGTTCCTTATGATGGTGATAAACAAATCATTGTTGGTAGTGGTCAAGGCTTGACTGTTCAAAATATTGGTCACGACACATTACAATCCCCTTCTCACATGTTTTATCTTTGAAATATTTTGCATGTTCCGATGTTAACAGTCAATCTTCTCTCTGTGAAACAATTGTGCAAAGATAACAATAGTTGGTTTATCTGTGATGATTTCCAATTCTTTGTGCAGGACAAGGTAACAGGGGTGATACTTTACAAAGGAAAGAGTAGCCAAAATGAGTTGTTTAAGATTCTTGTACATGTGTTTCCAACTTTACTTTCTCAAGGTGATTCTATTACTGCTGCATTCATGGGAAAAGCTGTCAAGACTTCTTTGTGGCATAATAGGTTTGGTCATCCTTCAAATGAGATTTTGGAAGCTATGCTTAGGGATTCTAATGTGTCTGTCTCTAGTGATGTCAATGCTCATGTTTGTTCACAATGTCTGAGTGGCAAAATGAGTAAACTGTCTTTTTCAGAGAAGTTAGATAGAGTTGATATTCCTTTTCATAAAGTTCATGCTAACATGTAGGGTCCTTCACCAGTTGTTTCAATTGAGGGATTCAAATACTATGTGTCTTTTGTAGATGAAGCAACAAGATTTGCATGGGTGTTTCCATTAATGAATAAATCTGAAGTTTTTGGTGCTTTTGTAAGATTATGTGCTTATGTAGACAATCAGTTTAATACAAAAATAAAGGTATTACAATTTGATGGTGGTGGTGAATTCTTAAGTAATACTTTCAAGGATTATCTTGCTACTCATGGGATATTGCATTTTATTTCATGTCCTTATACACCTCAACAAAATGGTTTGGTGGAAAGGAAACACATGCATATTGTTGAAAATGCACTGACTATGTTAAATGCTGCCAAACTACCACTTAAGTTCTGGTACCATGCAGTTGCACATGCTGTTTTCTTGATTAATAGAATGCCAGCTAGAACTTTGAGGATGCAATCACCATTTGGAAAACTGTTTGATAAGAAACCTGATTTGTCTTCCATGAAAGTGTTTGGTTATGCTATTTACCCTTATATCAGGTCTTATAATGCACACAAGCTTGAACCTAGGTAAAGTCAATGTGTTTTCTTGGGTTATTGCTTTGGTTACAAAGGGGCACTATGTTATAATCCCATTACAGATAAAATAGTAATCTCACGACATGTTATACATGATGAAGGTTGTTTTCCTTTTTATATTAGTCATTCTTCTCCAACATATACACCGTCAAATTCTGTTTCATCTTCCACTGTACCTCTAAGACCTGTTGTGGTTAATCTGATGGCTTCACATCCTAATCAAGATTTATTCTTGTTTGAGAATTTAGTTTCAAATGCATCAACGGCTAGCGGTTATTCCCAAGACTCTAGTGTGTCCAATCATGTACAGGATCCTAATCTCGATCTAGCTACTTCTAGTTTAAATGCTACTGTAGACATCGAAATTTCGGTAAATAAATGTTGACCGATAAATCAAAGTGTCAACGCTCATGTATTACATAAATTTTACACGTAGCGTGTGACTCAACGAAAATTGAAATGAGTTGGAAAAGTCATCAAATAGGACACGTGTCAACACCTGGCAGAAACGAATTATTTCATCTGGAATATTATATTCAAAGTTAGGCCTTGGAAAATTCTATAAATACAAGCCCATTTCATTCATTTAAAAAAAAAACCAAAATCATTAGGCAAAACTCTTGAAGCTCTGAAGCTCTGAAACTCCGAAGCTCTCAAGCATCCAGGTTCCCGAATAATCAAGAAAGCGTTCTTCGTTCATCGTTCATCCTAAGATCAAGCCCCAACGGCCCTTTGGATCAACAATCATCCACCAATTCAAGATCAAGCCCCGACGGCCCTTGAAGAAAGTGTCTTCGTTCTTCGTTCTTCGTTCATTGTTCTTCCAAGATCAAGCCCCGACGGCCCTTGGATCAACCATCCACCAATTCAAGATCAAGCCCCGACGGCCCTTGAAGAAAGCACCATCGTTCATCATCCGTTCATCCAAGATCAAGCCCCAACGGCCCTTTGGATCAACAACGTCGACAAATCCACACATCCAACCGTTCTTCAAGATCAAGCCCAAAAGCCCTTGAAGATCCGTTCATCACTGTTCTTCAAGATCAAGCCCAAAATCCCTTGGAGATCCGTTCGTCACTGTTCTTCAAAGATCAAGCCCAAAAGCCCCTTTGAAGATCCGCTCAAATCCACCTTCAAGATCAAGTCCACGGCCCTTGAAGAACGTTCATCCTTAGATCAAGCCCAACGGCCCTTTGGATCAATCACACATCCACAAATACACACCTTACGAAGATCGAATCAGAGGATCAAAATAGAGAGAGATTGTAACCCAAAACTATCAAAATACAAATATTTGTTTGTGCACGTTGTTCTTGTATCTTTCGTTTCAGGAATTTTCCGTGTTCACAGCTACTCTTTCCACTCCCTCTATGTTGCATGTCTGTCACTTTCCACTTCTTCAGTATCTACTACTTCAGTACTAGCCGATGCTCTTCCGGGTATTCAAACAAGGCTTAAAACTAGAACCATCACTAGAAAGGATTACACTGCACTTGCAGTAGTTTGTCCTCAAGTTCAAACTTTGGAATTACATGATTGTACTCATTTTTCTGGAGGATTTACCGTTGTTGTTGATATTACAGATGCCTCTGAGCCTTCTAATTTCAGGGTGGCTTCTCAAATTCCTCATTGGCAACAAGCTTCCCTTACCTCCAGATAAAAATATTGTTGGTTGTAAATGGGTATATAAACTAAAGAGAAATCCTGATGGTTCTATCTCTAGACATAAAGCTAGGTTGGTTGCACATGGTTTCAGTCAAGAAAAAGGGTTGGATTACACAGAGACATTAGTCTGAATACAAGGCTTTAGCTCATGCCACAGCTGATATTGAAGGATATGGGTGTGGTTTTACATTAGCCCCCTCTTTTACATTGGGATAATCGGTCTGCTATTGCCTTAAGTCTCAATCCGGTTCAACATTCCAAGATTAAACACATCGAAACCGATCTTCATTTTGTTCAAGAAAGAGTTCAAAAATGAGATCTTCAAGTCCAGTACATTTCCACAAAGGATCAAGTGGTAGATGTGTTAACTAAAGGATTAAATGGTCCTGACTTCATCAAACATTGTACCAATCTTAAACTAGGAAATCCTAGTTACGATTAAGGGAGGATATTGGATATAGATGACATGTACACTTGTGCCACATCATTAGAGGCTTATAGTATAAGCTAAGCGGAATGTATAAAAAGAGATTTTCCCTCTCTTGTATTGTGATTGCTTTTACTGAGAAATACAAGTTATCTTCTTCTTCTTTTGATAATTTTCATTTCTTCTTCTGCAATATTGATCTTAGGGTTAATAAGCAGTAGGCCAATTCTTCCACTCTCAATGCATACAATCGAAACTTCCTATCATGTCAGGGAAGCCTCTTTTGTCTACCTTACGTAAAAGCCTCTTCAAGTCTTCACGATTTAGTTTGCGGAGATATGTGGCTCCATATATGGCTTGAATTGCCTGACAGAAGTGCTTCAGGTTCTCAATAGCAGTATTATCCACAAGTTGACAATACTCGTCAGTTGAGTCTGCAGAGCACCCATTAGCTAAAATCCGAAATGCAGAAGTGAGCTTCTGATGAGGTGATAGACTTTGTCGGCCGATGACATATATCTTCCTTGCAAAGTAGTGGTCATGATTGACAACTGCATTCAAGATGCTATCAAAAAGCTTTCTCTTCATCCGAAACCACCTTTGAAAATCATGAGCAAGAAATCTCGAACGCTTGATGAAATGATCTTTCATCATTCGGTCATGACACTCTTCTCTATCACGCTGCACAAATGAACGCCCCGTGACAAAACCACGATGGCTAGATTCAGCATAGTGCTCATATTGCATAAGCGAGTTTGCAAGTTCAACTTCTGCATTGATCATTTCTATATCCTCAATGTCAAGGCATGCTTGGTATTGTGTCATCTGCATTGCCCTGCTACGTCTTCTTCTATCACCCATTGATGAGATATTAAGGACTTTAGGAAACAAAAACACTTTGAAAGTTGAAAGATTGGTGGATTTAGAGGATGATTGAAGGTTGGAAGATTGTGTGATCAACTGATATTCAACCTGTGTTTATATAGAGGATGATTGATGAAAGTTGAAAGATTGGTAAAAGTTGAAAGTTTGGTGAACGTTGAACGATTGGTGAAAGTTGAAAGTTTGTTGAAAGTTGAACGATTGTTGAAAGTTGAAAGTTTGGTGAGTTTCATGTGTCGATTTAATGATTTATTTTTAGATTAAAATGTTCATAAAATTAAATTACGATAGTCTACATAATTTTTAATTTTTTTTAAAGTTAATTTAAGAAAAATTAGCCTAAGTTCATTCTTTAATAATCTCATGCTAAAATTTTAGGCCAGAATGATTCAAGCAGAAAAACTGTTTCTAGGTTAAAACCTAAATTTTCTGGGCTAAAAATTTTTATTTTAAGCCAAGGGTTGAAAATGGTCACCCCACGCTAGGTTACGGCATTACCGGCTTAGTCTCACAACCCTTTTATTCTTTCGAGTTCTTCCGGACTCTCTCTCTCTCTCTCGATCTGAGGAAACCTCTTTGGAAGCATTCCAGGCAAGGACTCCGAAAGAGGCAACAACAATGGCCATTCCCAGGCTCTCTCCTAATCCTTTTGTAGTTGAGGCTATTGTCGTCGTCATTTTTGGCATTTCCATCTCTGCTGTTCAGGCCAAACCCATGTCTCCCGCTCCAGCTCCCGGTCACAGCAGCAACGATGGTTAGTTCAAAATCACTTTTCCCCATTTGTTTTTCTCTTCCTGTTTTGTCATTGTGTACTTTGGATTCAAGTTTCATGGTTGAGTGCTATGACGCACGGACACGCCAACTTAAGAGCGTATCCCGTATCAGATACGGTCTGGGATACGATACGTGCCGATACGCTCCGGATACGTATCTGAACGTATCCGTTGACCAGTGGACATCTGGATACGTCGTCGATACGCTTTTGATATGCGAATCTGACATTTTGAATACGCAACAAAAGCACCTTAACGATGAAATGATCTAACCAGAGGAGGGGGAGAGAGTGGGAGGGGCAGAGAGAGAGAGAGAGAGAGAGAGCTCTATGTAGAAGACGTATCGTATCCTAATATTTAGACAATAGCCGGATCGCTGTGTCGTATCGTGTCGTATCGCTGTTTGGCAATTGCGTTCCTGCATTCTGTTTACTAACGACATGAAGCACAGAAGTAGAATAGGAAAAATAGCACATTGTATGAAAAGAAAATCAGAAAAACATTTTACGACCTCAATAATTGTCGGTTTGTCACCCATAAAAATGGAAGGTGGGAAGGAAAGAAAAAGGAGTCATCCGTACGAGAAAGACCTCTGCCTAAGAATCTTATCAACACAAAAAGCAATCAGGCTTTCCTGTCAATTGGCTTTGCATCCTTCTGTTGCTGCCCAACTAATGAAAACTTCTTCATTTGCTGTTACGAAAAAATAATTGAAAGAAACGTCTAAGTGTTTGCATAAAAGCAGGTTTTGCATTCAGAAACTAGAATGATACATCTAGGTAAAGCCACTGACCGATTAATGCTAATAGCAACTGAATAATAATGATTGTTCATCGTCAGAAAGCATATAACAAAATCACAATATTCAATGGTTGATATCGACCTTTTTAAAAATATAAAAAAATAAAAAAATAAAAAAGTGACAAATAGTGGCTCCAATCTTCCGGAATCCGAAAAGACTCACAAAAGCATTTTAGCCTTTCCTGACCATAAGTCTGACTTTCAAACCAGTAGTGGGTTTCGAACCCAAGACCTCCAATTTTTAGTTTTAAAGAAGTCTTGTAATCCGTCATTTGCTACTGGGCTACCAGCTCGTGGTTGTTGATATTGACTTTGGAGCAGTTGCTTATTTGATATAACATCTCAACATTTTGGTACAATCTGGAAACCCAAAAGTAATCGGGAAGCTAACTAGCCCATTTTACACAGTGAATTCCAAGTTTATGCATCTAAATATCCAAAGCATACCTACTTGTCTTTTTATCCCCTCATCTTCCTGCCATAAAATGAATCGACTTGAGGCAACACTGGTGTCAAGTTCAAGAAACGATCTCTAGTTTGGATAAAAATGGCTTCCCTAAGATTAGATCCCACCAACAGTAATAAACTTCTCAGATGAGTCAGAATCCCGGTTAGGAATCAACTAATTAGGATAAGCTCGCAGGTTATTCGATTACACAGTAAAACAACCAGGACCATGAAGCAATTTGTTTGGTATTTTTTTATTACCAAAAGCAAAAACAGTTGGTAAAAGTAGCATGTAAGTTGCTTTTAAAAATTGCTACCATAAAAGCAGAGTAAAGCTTTTAATGAATATTTCTAATTTTTGTAATACACTATCCATTGGAGAGCAACCGTTACTATTAAGTTTTTTGAAAATGACATTATTTATTTTTTCAAAACACATTATCCATAAAAGAACAAAGCGACTACCACCACCTACTAGTACAAACACTAACCTTACTCCACCGCCGTAATTACCACCACCATAATTCATCGCCACCGCCACCGCCATTGCCGCCACCACCACAACCACCACTACAACTACTAGCACTAGTAGAAAAAACACTTTGCGCAACGTAGATAGCTTCGTCGCGCAAAGTGAAAAATCGTTGCCTAAAAAATAGTGCAACAAAACCTTCATCGCGAGCTAACCGTCATAGTAGGATTTGCGCGACGAAAAAGAACATACGTCGCGCAAAGTGGCTTAGGTGGCTTTGCGCGACGTAGGGACATGTGTTACACAAAGCCTCTTTGCGCAACGTAGAGATGTGCGTTGCGCAAAGTGGCTTTGGTGGCTTTGCGCGACGTAGGGACATACGTCGCGCAAAGTGGCTTAGTGGCTTTATATGATGCCTTCTTCGTTGCGCAAACCCTTTCTTTTGTTTTGGTCAAAATTTTTATTTTTTTATTTTTAATAAATATTGTAATTAAATTCTAAACAATAATTAATTAACCAAGGAAAAGTATTTAATTATAAAATATATGAAAATGCACATACAAGATGTCCGAATAAAAAAAAAAAACTACAAGTAATCTTCTAGGTTTGATACATCAGGTTATTGGAGCAGTAGATGTTCATAATGCGGGAGGCGCATTGGTCACACTCCGACGACGAGCGATCAACCGCGACATCTATACACTTTTTGAACCATAAAATTATAACATTAGAAACTAATCCTTTCTTGCATTTGAAACTAATCAATTAGCAGCCAAAGTAATAGCATATCCTTTCTTGCATTTGTTCACATATATATATATATATATATATATATATATATATATAAAGCAGCACTGCAACGGTAGAAACAATACTAATTAAAGATGGTTAACAGCCAAAAATTAGGAGCAAGAGTTCCTGTAGAACTGAAAGTAACAGCAGATAAACTTAACAGTGAAATGAAGAAGGCTGCATGCTTGTTCCAGAAATGTGCATCAGTGACGGGTTAGATGAGGGACCATGACAGGTATGACTTCTTTCTTGAGAGAGAAAAGAAGGCAAAGTTGAGCTTACCTAAAACCTTCTTCCTTTGTCCTTATAGCTCGGGCAGAGTATACAGTTGATCGAACTGCAATTGTAGAATGATTAGGAATAAGAATCAATACAAGACATAGTTGAAGAAGGATAATGAGAGAAGCAAATTATAAGTTTACACACATTCCCGAATTTTTTGGTTTACCAAATCAGAGGCTGAGACTGAGAAGATAGAAACCATGTTACCTGTACCTGGAATGAAGATTTATGCTGCCTCCTTCAAGGAACCTAAATCTGTTATGTCTTTGGCCTGTCCAACTTAGCATGTATTAGATAAATTTGTCTTACATTAGCATTTATCAAGCAATTTAGAAAGAATAGATAACGGAATCGCCTAATGTGGATTCATGACGATATAGGAAGATGTTATGTTTCTAAAACATGATCAGCAATGAATAAGATGGTGACTTTACTCTAAGATATATATACATATTGCAAGGTTTATAACTAAAAAGGCCAAAATATCTGAAGGCTCGACAAGTAATGAAAGGTGAGGTTTTCGAAAGAACATTCCTGATAAGTAGGCATAGTTTGTTAAAGTCAGACCACCCCATGATACATGAGCTGAAGAGTGTTGAATATTCGGCCAAATTCTAGGGGCCTTTATATGTAAGCCAAACAACCCATTTAAAGGGCCTTTTTATTTGGCCCATGTGGAAAGCCACGGGAGTGGCTAGGTTTTTAATTAGGGCAGCAACTGCCCTTTTGTTTCTGAGCAAGAAAATAGAAGAGCAGCAGAGCAAAACAAAAAAAAGTGCCGCAGCCCCACTTTTGGAGAGAAGAAGAAAGTGTGCCCTCTCATTGGTTAGTTATTACTCCATCAAAGTTGTATTTCTTGTATTAGATTTGAGCTTTGTATAGAGATGAAATTATTCGTTATATTTCCTTCTCTATTTGTTTATTTGGTGAGTAAGAGTTATTGGGGTTTTGAGTTGTGAGATTGTCAACACTTTGTAAACTCTCATTTGGTTGATAGTGGATTATTGGGTGAGCTCCTACTGCTCCAAGAACGCACTCCAATTACACTGACTATTAAGGAACCTCGTTAAAATCTTGGTGTCTATTATATTCTGTTTTTACATTTCATTTGATATATTTCCTGTGGGTTAGCTTGAGTTGGTTCAAATTGGTTTGGTGCTATCCTGGCACAACAATTGGTATTAGAGCACTGGTTGCCCATGGGTACCGTCTAGTTGCTAAAGATGTCAGACGAGCAAGATGAGAATCCTTTTAGAAGCAGCTCCAGATTTGCAAGAACTACAGTGCAAAATGCAAAGTTTGAAGTGGAAAAATTTGATGGCACAAACAACTTCAGGATGTGGCAATATGAGGTCAAGGATGTGTTGGCTCAACAAGATCTACTTGCCGCTTTGGGAGATAAGTCGGAAGCT